CTCATGGTCTAAATTTATTCTAATAGTTAGGACCATGACGTTTGGCTATTTTTAGTCTGTTGATGGAATTAATTTACCTGTGCTAAATTAAATGCCGTAGGCGTAGTAAATCCCGAATGAATAAATTGGCCAAAAAGAAATGTATACACACCCAGATTAATGCGCAATAAACAATTTACTAATGGCAAACCCTCTAACAATCTAAATTCTTGTTGATTTATGCTATATACGGGCATCAGAAGACACGGAAACCAAAAATTTAGAAAATTATCAGTTTGTCAAATGCCGGCTATGTAAATTATATACAAGTTGCACTAGACTGCAAACAAATCCTCTTTCTACAGTTTTTATCATAACTATGAAGATATAAAGGCTCTAAATTTATATCCATTGAACGATTTTTTTCTATCATGTCTAGATTTTCTGTTATTATTTTTTCAAAATATTTAAAATTTATGATTTTTTTCATTATGATTTCAAAAAACAACTGTGCCAGATCTCTTCACTCGCTTATAATCGACTGAACAAAAATATTCTGATATTAATGAATGGCTATTTAAAGACAATTAACCATTTATTAATCATTGGTTTTCCAAACAAAATCGAAATTTATACTATTTAAAAGACTATTTTTATTACTATTTTATTATTTAAAAGAAAATTTATACTATATAAACTATCAAAAGACCATTAACTGAATACCTATTTATTTTAAGAGTTTCTTTATTTCTTGTTATTTAATGAGTTATTATCATAACGTCAAAAATAACCATAAATAAGGTTACAAAAATAAACAGATTTATATAAATATAATATGCTTTGAAAATGGTTTAAATATCTAATAAACCGAAACAAATAATGTAATTCCCTTAAAGTACATCGATGACCATCTGAATAATCCCTAGCCTAGTGTTCTAAAGCGGAGTTTACATTGGTATAGTAAACGGGTTAGTTGCTTGTACCAGTAGCTTTTAAGGCAACAACTAACCCAATGTCAACCTACCGGGTAAGTACTTGTACAAGTGCTTGTACCAGTAGCGAGGACAGGTAAGTAAATAGCTAGTCCATCTATTTACTTGCCTACTATCCTTCCCTTTCCACCACATTTTCGCATTGACGCAAGTAGCATAGCAAACTTCTAATTTAACGTGCGCTGGGAAGGCGTCTCTTAAAAGCGTATCACTTCTTTGAATTCTAGGTAGAACCATATTTAGCAAGTATTTGAATTTACTCGTTGTCAACCGAAGGCATAATTTATATTCTTCAGGATCTTCCATACGAAGTACTTTTAAAAGAAGAGTGGATGCTCCTCTTGTACTTCTTCTATCAATCCACCTTCGAACCTATATCCTTTTTGGACGACATTTTTCTTCTTCAATCAAATTAACAGCTTCTTCAATTAAAATTCTCGATATTCGCAACATAATTTTTTTAATGCGATTTTTAATTATTAATTTTGAATTATTGCACAAAGCACGGCGCCGGCAATGAAAAGGTTTCATCTTTACGCATCTGGTGCTCGTCGGGAACTGGCAAATAAATAATCTTCTATGTTTAAACACTTACTAGCATGTCAACTTGCGTATGTGAACTGTCCTGGATATACTTGTACAAGTAACTTCTTCTTTAAGTTCCATCTTCTATCGAAGGTTGGAAATCATCATGGCTATGCGGACTCTGTTGACTGCCGCTCTAAAAAGTTCTGCACTACTGCATTCAAACCATTCCCTTAAGTTCTTAAGCCAGGATATTCTTCGTCTTCCCACATTTCGCTTTCCTCGGATTTTGCCCTGCATAATAAGTTGTAATAATGCGTATTTTTGCCCTCTCATTACATGTCCCAAGTACTCAAGTTTTCGTCTTTTAATAGTTAATATTATTTCCGCCTCATTTCCTATCCTTCTAGTTACTTCCATGTTTGACATTTTTTGAATCCATGATATTCGTAGGATTCTTCTGTAACACCAAAATTCAAAGGCGGCCAGCTTATTCAGATGAACTTGTTTTAGTGTCCAAGCTTCCAGACCATAAAGAAGAGTAGAGAACACGTAACATCGAAGCATTCTCAGGCGTAGTTCTAACCTTATATCCCGACAACAAAGAAACTTTTTAAGTTTAATAAATGATGTACGTGCTATTTCAATACGTGTCTTAATTTCTTTGGTTTGGTCTACATCTGATGTTATCCATGTTCCATGTACAAGTAACTGGTGCAAGTAATTATACCAATGTAAACTCCGCTTAATTTTACGATAGTCCATGTGACGTGGAAAAATTTCTAAATAGATCTTCTAAAAATCTAAATAGTCAAATCCAACGTAAAATAAGCTAAAATATTGACGTTGTACGAAAAGCACACATACTAAAATATGCTTAACAATTCAGTTTTTTTTTCTGAGAATTTCCTCCAGCTTATTTTCCAAATATACTATAAATAAGAATACGATAATAAAAGTATTTAAAGAAAGGAGACTTTTTATGGAGTGGAATCATGGACGTTAAATCTAGATACCATGAGACGACTTAACGCCTTTGAAATGTGGACCTATAGAAGAATTATGAGGGTTTCCTGGGTAGATAGAGTTACAAACAATGAAATACTGAGAAGAATAGGCAAAGAGAAGGAAATTGAACTTACAATTAAAGAAAGAAAGCTACAGTATCTCGGACATGTGATGCGGGGCGATAAGTATGGCATCCTGCGACTCATAATGCAAGGAAAAATAGATGGCAGAAGAAGCATCGGAAGAAGAACGAATTTCATGGCTGAAGAACCTGAGAGAATGGTTTGGATGCAGCTCAAAACAACTATTTAGAGCTACTGCCTCAAAAATTAAGATAGCTATGATGATTGCCAACCTCCGTAGCGGAGATGGCACCTGAAGAAGAAGAAGAAGAAGACTTTTTATTGATGCTTCTAAGATTATTTTGAAAGTCATCTTACCCCACAATGATAATAAATATCAGTGCCCCTCACATACTACAAATATAAAAGAAAATTGTACAAATTTGGAGGTATTACTTGAGAAAATAAAATTTTCTCAATACCTATGGAGTATATGTGCTGATCTGAAGGTCGTAGCTATACTTACCGGATAAACATAAAGGATATACTTACTAAGTTTTGGTGGTTTTTTATATGAATGAGATAGTAGTACAAGAGAAAAAATGTAAAGGCTTTCAGTATCTTAACACTAAATTTCCCCGAATCAGTGACGTAAAGTTGGAAGAAGGAATTTTTGTTGGTACGCAAATCCGACGGCTTATGACAGGTGTAGCTTTTGATTTGATATTAAACAGAGCAGAAAAAAGAGCTCGGCATGCTCTTATAGAAGTAAGTATGTCATAATTTCCTTGCCAATACGAAAGCTGACAACTACCGAGAAATCATTCTGCTCCTGAGAACTTTCTTCTGCTTATGAAGCTCTAGGCTCTAAAGTCATTTACATGTGAGTCAAAGTTGGTTTAGGACTGTAAACAATTTCTCAAGAAGCTGGCGGAACGCAACAGTGTAACTGTGATGTGGGTGCCAGGTCACAAGGGAATTGCAGGAAATGAGGAAGCTGACAGCCTCACAAAAGAAGGAGCTAATACCCCATTCCAGGGTCCGGAACCCTTCTGTGGACTATCGATAAGCCACATCAGAGAGGAACTCCGTACCTGGGAACTCAATCAACTAAGATTATATTGGTCTAACACACCAGAACAAAGGCAAGCAAAAAGGCTCATAAAAGTGTCGCCTACTGCAAAAAATCCGCCTTCTCGAAATGAGTAAGAAAGATATCAAAATGGTCACTGGCCTTCTCACTGGTCACTGCCCTCTGAGATATCATCTCAAGAAGATGGGCAAATCAGATAGTGAGAACTGTCGTTTCTGTCACAATGAAAAAGAAACGGCAGAACATATATTATGCAACTGCGTAGCACTGTTCTACAAACGACTAAAATTCCTAGGAGAGGTCAGTCTGGCGTCCTCTGACATAGGAAACAAGTCACCTAGGAAGCTAATGAACTTCATCAGAAGTATTGGCATTCTAGAGTTTAACTAGATTAAGGTATGCACAAAAGATCTCTATAGGTCTAAGTGCGGTGAGGCCGCATGGCCTTAACGACCTCACATAATCTAATATAATCTAATGAAGCTCTATGATGCAATATGTCACTCAAAATGAATTGTTTAGATTCGCAATTAGATTCTTTTTCTGAAAATCTTGGTACCGCATCAGATGAGTGATAGTGAAAGCTTTCACCAGGATATACTACACATTGAAAGACACTACAATGGAAATAATCAGCTAAAATGCTGAATGTTTGATCGATTTTCTGTTGTCTGTACGTCGATTTACCAAGAAACTCCAACTGAAGAAAGGAAAAAGAAGAAAACTACAGATTAGCTTGGATTTTATTATCATAATGAGATAGATATAGTGAAACTTTAACTTAGTAAATCACCAAAGTAGAAATGTTTTGATGTTTTAATTAATGTTTAAACAATGTTCAAATAAAATTATACAGATACTTTAAACGTCATTTCTTTTCACTAAGGTTTGATTTGAAAAAGGTTCTTATTTGCAAAATGCATTACATGTTTTACAATTTTATTTAACTGGGCTAAGAATTCTATATCTCTATATCTCTAACTGCAACAGAAATATTTCAGGCAATGTTCTATAATTAAACAATAATTTAACTATTTGCATATTTTGTCTAAGTAGCATTCACTTGCAGGTTCCACTTTTATGATGTCTAATTTATCAACCTGCTTATCAAAATTAGGTAAACAACCATTTTAAAAATTACGTCAGTTTATTTAATTTACTGTTAAAATATATATTAACAGCTCTTATCAAAGCTTATCTAAAATTGTTTTGTACCTTTCATTCAAGAAGTATCAATTTTGTTAATGTACCGGCGAGATTACGACTATTATAATAATTTTCAATAAAATGTTTTTGGAGAACTGCAAGTATCATGCAAAAATATATAAGACAAAACATCACCTGATCGATAGGAATCCACCTTTATCGCTTTTATGAAGAATCAATTCTTTTTTGAAGATTTTTTATAGCTTGGCATCAAAAACTGGGATTACGTCACATCTCACACATAAATCTTCACTTTATAAAATAGAACTAAACAATGTAGTAGAGAAACGTAGGAGAAAATTCCGTAACATAAAATCGAGAATGATTTAAGAAACTAAAAATTTTGACAGATGACAAACAGACCGGTTATTCATTATGAAAAATCAACAAGCACAAACTCAAGTGTTTTACAAGTATCTAAAAGAAGAAATAAAACTTGTCACTTTTAAGAAATATTTGAACTACAGTATATACAACATTGTAAAATAAGAGTAGAACCACTGAGAATTAAAAGAAATATACCACAATGTACACGATGTCAAGAATATGGTCACACTAAAACGTACTGTGCAAAATCATATAATTGCGTAAAATGCGCTGGATCACACAACACACAGGATGACAAGAAACCAAAAAACACGCCAACAACTTGCACTAACTGCAACGCAGACCATCCTTCTAATTACAGAGGATGTTCTGTTTATTGTGAACTACTAAATGTCAGATACCATGAGAAATCAAAACAAATTACCACTCAAAATCCTGTCAACAATTCCAATGTAAATATACCTACCCAACATCATGCTCATAATTTCAACAGAATCAGTTATAGAAATGTTACCATTGGAAATATAAATGCAGATAACAAAAATAACAACAATGAATTAGCAGATAAACTATCAAATTACCTGAAGAAATTCAAAAATATGTTCTCTCAACTCTTAAACCAAAATAGCATTATTTTAACCATGTTAACTCAAGTCATTAACAAAATAATAAAATAGCTTTCAAGTCCTATGAAATGCATCTAATGCTGCATACTGCTAATGGCATTTCAAACCATATATAAGAGATATCACTGTTTTTAAAAATGTATAATATAGACATTCTATTAATATCTGAAAGCCATGCCACACAAAGAACGGTTATTAAAATACCTTACTATACTGTCTACTATGCAAACCATCCAGAGGTTGGCAAACCATGCAGGTTCTTCTTATTCTTCTAGTTTCATGACCGTTATCGATCGTTGGATATCATGTTGGCTACCATATTCGCTATCGTGACTTTATTGACAACAGCTCTAAATAACGATGTAGTTGATTTTCCATACCATTGCCTTAGATTTTTCAGCCATGATGTTCTTTCGGCTACCAGGACCACGATTACCTTGGATCTTTCCCTGAATGATCAGATGTAAAAGATCATATTTTTCAGGGTGTCTCATAATGTGACCGAAGTATTCCAGCTTGCGTTTCTTTATTATATTCACCAGTTGTGTTGTTTGGCTCAGCCGTCTCAGGACCTCCTCATTTCTAACTCTGTCGACCCAGCTTATTTTCAGTAGTCGTCTGTATACCCACATCTCAAAGGCTGTCAAGCGTTTAAGCATAGCCTCAGTTAGAGTCCACGCTTCCACTCCATCCAGCAGGACAGGAAAGATGTAGCAAGATGTCATACGAACTCTAAGGTCAATGCTAAGATCGTGACTGCAAAGTACGTTTCTCATTTTTACAAAGGCAGCTCGGGCTTGTTCTATTCGGCTTTTAATTTCTGCGGTTGGATCCCAGCTCTCATTGATATTACTGCCGAGATACAAGAGTTTCTCTACTCTGTCCAGTGTGGCATCTCCGACTTTTATACCGTCATCCTGTATATAATTTTGTTTGCTAACTATCATATATTTAGTTTTCTTAACGTTGAGTTTTAATCCATACTGATCACAAGTCTGTTTTATTTTGTTCATTAGATTTTGAAGGTCTTCTCTGCAATTGGCAAGGACTAAGGTATCGTTGGCATATCTAATAATTGTTGACGGTTACTCCATTCACAATAAATACCTTCGGTTGTCTCTATTAAGGCTTCCTTAAATATTTCCTCCGAATATAAGTTAAAAAGTAAAGGCGACAATATACAGCCTTGTCTCACTCCTCTTTTGATATTAATTTCATCCGACAGTTCATGCAGGTTCTGCCGTTATTATTAAATCAAAAATTAAACACTATGAAGTCCAACTTTATATTACGGAAAAAATTCAAGCAGCAATCATTAAAATCGAAACAAACACCTCCCTCAGTGTATTATCAGTCTACAGCCCACCTAAACATCAAATTTCAAGCGAAGAGTATCATGATTTCATACAAACTCTTGGATCCAAATTCATAGTAGCAGGTGACTGGAATGCCAAACACATCACATGGTTCCAGATTAATCACGCCTAAAGGTCGAGCATTAATGAATATCATCCAACAAAATAACTTAAGATACTTATCTACGGGAGAACCCACATACTGGCCTACGGATGCCAACAAAATTTCCAGATTTGGTAAATTTTGCTGTAACAAAAGGGATATCTGACATCTATAGTGCAATAGAGTCAAACTTCGATTTAACATCAGATCACAGTACAATAATAATAACTTTAAGTACACACATAATATGGAGAACACCATCACCCAAACTCACAACTAAAGAAACAAACTGGGATGTTTTTCCAAAATTCTGTAAATACAAAAATTAGACTAGATATTAGAATAAAAGAAAACCAAGATGTAGAGAAAGCAGTAAACTATTTAACAACAGTTTTACAAACAACAGGATGGGAAGCAACACCACAGCGTCAAAGAAGTCTGCAAGAAAACCATAATATCCCCTTTCATATAAGAGAACTGGTAGCAGAAAAAAGAAGAGCTCGCATATGGCAACAAACGAGAAATCTACTAAATAAAACGTACTTAACAGGATAAGTCATAGACTAAATAGAGCATTCCATGAAGAAAAAAACTCTTTCCAGTTTTATGTTTCGAACCTCTCACATGAAAACCATCTATATGGAAAGCTACAAAAAAGTTTAAACGACCGACAATAACAAATTCACTTTAAGAAAAACAGATATGACCTTGGTCCTACAAACACAAAAAAACGCAGAACATCTTGCAACTGTATTCGCAGCACCAGATACTGATAATGATGAAGATGATGATATAAGAATGTACCTCGAAACTCCATGTCAACTATCTCTTCGTCTGACAACATTTATTCCTAAAGAGGTTCGACAACAAATCTAAGAAAGCTTCTGGCTATGATTTGATAACAAGGGAATTACTTGAGAAGCTACCAAGAAAAGCAGCGGTGTTATTAACAATAATATACAACAGCATACTACGTCTTCGATACTTTCCAATACAATGGAAATTTACAATGGAAGTTACTATGATTCCGAAACCTGGTAAACCCGCAACGCAACAAATTCATATCGCTCTATAAGCCTACTCCCAATAAGGTCGACAGTATTAGAAAGGCTACTATTACATAAAATCGAGCAAGTTGTTCACATAAACGAAATTATACCACAACACCACTTCGGATTTAGACGTGAACACTCAACCATCCAACAATGCCACAGAATAGTAAATATAATTAAAACAACTCTCGAGGAGAAAAAGTTTTGCGCCTACGGTGCTCACCTACGGAGCACAGACATAGACATTCACACAGGCCAATTTGGATAGGATAAGGAAGGCACAAAGAGCGATGTAGAGACAAATGTTGGATGTATCACTTAAAGATAGAAAACGTAACCAGTGGATCAGAACCAGAACAAAGACAGTAGACGCGATAGAACAAGCAGCAAAACTGAAATGGAAATGGGCTGGACACAATGAACGTCTCCAACACGGACGATGGAACAATGCCATCGGAAAGTGGCGTCCATACAATGCAAAGAGATCAAGAGACAGACCACAGATGAGGTGGAAGATGACATCAGGAAACAAGGAGGTCCCACATGACAGAGAACAGCTCAAGATAGGGAAAGATGGAGACCTATATCCTACAATGGAAGGATAGAGAATAGGTTAAAAAAAACAGGCATTTGATAGATTATGGCATGAAGGTTTTCTCTACAAACTGAAAATACACCTAACAGACCAACTATACTTTATACTAAAATCCTATCTTATTGACCGTTACTTTCAAGTCAAAATTGAAGACAGCTACTCAAATTATCACATCATACAATCTTTGCCGATGATATAGGAATCCTAACAGTGGATATCGACATTAATGTAGCATCACAAAAAGTACAAAATCGTTTAGATCAATTACAAAACTGGCGAGCAAATTAAGCGATGGAAGATCAGTTTTAATGCTAGCAAATCAGTACAAATTACTTTTACAACAAGAAAATCCACATGTCCACAAGTTTATATTACTAATACTCCCATTCCTATAAAACCAGTTGTCAAGTACTTAGGATTTCATCTGGATGAAAAACTTACATGGACACCGCACTTTAAAAACGAAACGGAAACAACTAGATCTTAAACTAAAAAAATTGAGCATAATGGAATAGAACTATGGGGCTGTAGTAAACCTTCAAATACGAAGAAACTTCAAACATTCCAATCCAAAATACTCCATATGATAAGTAAAGCTCCATAGTGTGTATCTAACCAAACACTTCATAATGATCTAGACATCCGATTACTTAAGGAGGTAATAAAGAATCATTCAATAAAATATAGAAATTGCACCGCTGATCACAACAACAAATTGGTAAATAATTGATTCACCAAACCACTTGCCGAAAGAAGATTGAAGAGGGTAGGTATGGCCAGAAGACCTAGAGAACCGTCACTGGGCGGTACCTAACTCACGTTAATTTACTTACAGACTATTTACTTATTACTTTATTACTCTGTGTATAGAGTAGATTGTAAACATGCAATGTAACAATAAACAAAACGCATTTCTTATTAAACACTGTTGTAATCTTTATTGTTAATTTTTCATTTGAATTGTAATATATATACATTACCGTGATTTTATAAATTACAGTTATTTATTTTTAGAGGTTTGTCACTATTTTACATAAAAATTATTACGCAATAGAACAAATATAAATACAAATATTACATACATTTTTTAAACCAGGTGTTCCTAAAATAGATGTGATAATACCAACTACTTCAGTAATTAATTCAGGGTTGATTGTTAAAGATATAAAATGGTATACAGGATGGTTCATTCATAATTGGTATTATTTTAATTTGAAACTTCATAAATAAAACAGTTTTAAAGACTGGTATGTTTTTTTGTAAGACACTGCTCTAACTTATTAGATGTTAGGTCTTTTAGAGGAGCAAACATAGATA